ATATTACGGACCATTTCAACCTGGCCGTCTAACTTCGCACGATCCATTTCACCGGAGATCGTGAAAAACTGCGTCAAACAGAGTATTTTTTAAAGGTTTGAGGAAAGGTAAATTTAGACTCAACCCACTCAATGGTGATCGCTATGTTTATATAACTGTATGAAAATCTCATCGGCTTTACGTAATCCATTGTGCCCCTCCCTAAGTGGAAAAGATAACACGACGCCATGACAGTTTTCACCAAGGTTTTGACTCCGCGGACGATTTTACGTCCGTTTCCCTAGTATTGTAAATATTTTTATTTTATGTTTTTATCTGACGGTTGAACATCAGCAACCGTCGGTGTATGATGGAATTTGGAATGTCGTCGTGATGCAATAGCCATTTTTGTGGACGATTAACATCACTTTCATAAAACGGCCATTATCTCCGTTCGTGTTTTCTGGTTGGTCAGAGAGATTGAAAATTAATTAGCTCCCACAGTTTTTGTCAGTTTGTCTTGACATTTTCACACTATTTTGACGACGTCTCTACGTCTGGGCTTATTTTTAAAGCTTTGCATTCTCGGACAATGACATTCGAAGTGTGAAATACTGACCGGGATTGACTATACGGCACACATCCTGCTTGACAACTTTGTAATATGAAAACAAAACATACTATATATACGCCTGGACGCCCATTTGTTAATAAACAACTGATAAACGTTGTGTGAAAGTTTCACTCAAAATAAACAAGAATTGTGCGAGCTACTAGTATTTAGATTTGAACTTCCATGGTAAACTGAAAAACACAAGTGGAGATAATGGCTAATTTGCATAACCATTCACTCAGTAAGAAGTTTGCTAATGCTCATAATTAAAATGGCTGTAACAGTTCCAAATTTAAATGTATTATCGTTTTGTTAAAAGTTAAATATAGTGCATAATATGGAGATCCCGTCATTACTTTTTTTCACCATGTTTCTTTTTGATTATTTATGTACAGCCTTGCTAAATCTTGCTAAGCATTCAAAAGAGAGAATGTTTGTACCAGTTTTCTATATTTTAAAATCGTCTTTTGAGTATGTTCAACTATTCACAATGCTGTAAAATTTTAACAGTCTATAGCCAAGACTGTTTGGATAATAAAAAGCAAAAAAAAAAAAAAAAAAATCACTCCCAAGTTCCAACGAACCTGCATCTATACCTTAACATTGCCGATTGCCACATAAACAATCACCCATTATTTAGCAAATTTGTTTGTTCAACTCAATATCTAAATTACATTAGTATTAATATTTCAGACGTTACTGTGGACACAACGGACCAATTTCAAACATTGGGTCGTTGAATTTATAATGTCAATAAATTAAATAAGCGCCCGGCCGTACGCAAGGCGTCATTTGAAAATGGTCCAATGTATTTAGATAGGAAACCTCTTATTATTTCAGTTTGAATTGAGATATATATAAATATGACGTGTATGGGTTGTTGATAACCGTCAAATACAAACAGGCGACACACTTATTTAATGAGTTGAATTAACATAGACGTTTCCATCAATGTCATTAGCCGTGAAAGGAACTCAGAAACCAATGAAGGGAAAACAAGTAATGTAAGGAGTTTAGAAATTGTAAATACACAACAATATATATTACCCATCGCATCTTGTCTGGTAAATATGACAATTTTGGATATGCAGTGTTCAACTCCCAAATTCGTCCACCAGAATGGCCCTTCTTCATTGGTTGTTTCAGAGCAGCTACCAGCCGCAAAGTCGGATGCAG